GGAGTGGTACCTATTGATCTACTCACATTTGCATGTTTTCGCACTGCTAGGTTGGCAGAAGCTGGGGCTGACAGCGGAAGCTCATGCTGCTCCCCAGATTCGAACCTGCAGCCTTTCAGTCAACAAGCTCAGCAGCACAGCGCTTTAACCCACTGTGCCACCGGGGGCTCCTTTACATATTTACAAAGTAAATATGCTAAAATATTTGAAAAGATATCACTTGGAGGAGGGGACACGCTTGTTTTCTGCGGTTCTGGAGACTATAAAATCCACATTGAACTGGATTATATGGAAGCGTGGACTCGGGACTCTTCCACACAGCTATATAACCCAGAATATCAAGGCAAAAAGTCCCACAATATTTGCTTTGAACTGGGTTGTCTGAGTCCACAGGGCCAGATATTATATTATCAAAGCAGATAATGTGAGATTTTATTCAGCTGTGTGGATGGAGCCTCAGTCCAGTTCAACACCAATATTGTGGATGATCTGCCTTGATATTCTGGGTTATATGGCAATGGATTAAAATGGCAGGTAAAGAGATCCCACTGAAACATCAGGAAGAACTTCCAACTGCTGTCTTGCAAGCCCTTCTATGGAGTTTTTTTTTAAAGCAGAGGCTGGATGGCCATCTGTCAGGGCTGCTTCAATAGTATTTTCAGGGCTGGACTGGGTAGCCCTTGTGATCTCTTCCAACAATAGGATCTCATTCTAAACTGAAAATCTTAGTCCTTTCAGGGAGAGAATGGGTTATAATTTTTTGATGATGATGATAATGGTGATTATTATTATTATATCTAAGACCACTTTGGTTACTTTGCATCTTTCCCAAAGACATCCCGGGCCCCTTCCATACAGCTGTATAAAATCCACAATGAACTGGTTTGTAGGGCAGTGTGGACTCAGATAACCCAGTTCAAAACTGATACTGTGGATTATCTGGAAGGAAAAGAGATGAAAGGAAAAGAGATCCCACTGAAACATCAGGAAAAACTTCCAACTGCTGCCTTGCAAGGGTGGAGGAGTCTCCTTCTCTGGAATATTTTTAAAGCAGAGGCTGGATAGCCATCTGTCAGGGCTGCTTCGATTGTATTTTTGGGACTGGACTGTATGGCCCTTGTGGTCCCTTTAACTCTAGGAGCCCATTCTAAACTGAAAATCTGAGTTCCTTTGAGGAGAGAGGGCAGGTTATAAATAAATTTAATAATAATAATAATAATAATAATAATAATAATAATAATAATAATAATAATGACTCTGGCACAAACCAGTAAAGGTGGTCCCAGTGGTGATCGCCACACTGGGTGCAGTGCCTAAAGACCTTGGCCTGTGCCTAAAGACCTTGGCACTTAAACACAATTAGCGCTGACAAAATTACCATCTCCCAGTTGCAAAAGGCCACCTTACTGGGATCTGCACGCATTATTCACCGATACATCACACAGTCTTAGACACTTGGGAAGTGTCCAACGTGTGATCTAATACAACAGCCAGCAGAGTGATCTTGTCTGCTGTGGACTCATCTTGTTGTGTTTCAAATAATAACCATCATCATCATCATCATCATCATCATAGAATCAAAGAGTTGGAAGAGACCGCATGGGCCATCCAGTCCAACCCGCCAAGAAGCAGGAATATTGCATTCAAATCACCCCTGACAGATGGCCATCCAGCCATATATAAAATCTAAGACTGCTTTTATTACTTTGCCTCTTTCCCAAAGGTATTTCAGACCCCTTCTACACAACTGTATAAAATCCACATTGACATGGATTATATGCCAGTGTGGATTTAGATAATTCAAATCAAAGCCCATACTGTGGATGATCCGCCTTGATATTTTGAGTTATATGACTGTGTGGAAGGGCCCTTAGTCTGAAATATCCTTCCTTTGGAGGGGGGAGGGAGAAAATATATCATCTGTAGCTGCCAAAACAGGAAGTAATCAAAGTTGACACTTTATTATAATGATGCCTGCATAAAGAACGAAGGAGGAGGGACAGAATTCATTCAGGGGAGAATTTCAGTGGCTAACCAATATCTTTGCCTCTCTAAAGTACTTGTCAGAATGTATCTCCCTCTACATCCCACCCCGCAGTTTAAGATCATCTGGGGAGTCCCTGCTATTGGTTCCACCTGCTTCGCAAATTCGTTTGGCGGGAAAGAGAGACAGGGCCTTCTCGGTTGTGGCCCCCTGCCTATGGAACTTGCTCCCAGCGAGATCAGGTCAGCTTCTTTCCTCCTGTCTTTCAGGAAAAAACTAAAGTCATGGTGCTGGGACCAGACATTCAGACAACAGACATACCAGCACTTGGTTATGGAACTGAAATGCAATGGCTTATGGTTTTGACAAAATTAGGAATTAACTGGACTGACTTCACGGTGTTGACAAATGTTTTAATTGCTTTTAACCTAATGATTTATTTATTGTTTTAAACTATTGATATATTGTTGTTTGTTTGTATTTATGGCCTCAAATTGTTGCCAATGTAAGCCGTCCTGAGTCCCTCTTCGGGGGTTAAGAAGGACGAGATAGAAATGCCGGAAATAAATAAATAAATAAATAGTTTTCAGAGGATTCCTCCTATAATGGATCCTTTTCCTAATAGCACCTTTGGACAGTCTTATAATGCTGAGAATGCCTCTTATAATGGATCCTTTTCTAACAGCATCTTCATAGAATCATAGAGTTGGAAGAGACCTCATGGGCCATCCAGTCCAAACCCCTGCCAAGAAGCAGGAAAATTGCATTCAAAGCACCCCATCTGGCCATCCAGCCTCTTTTTAAAGGCTTCCAAAGAAGGAGCCTCCACCACACTCTGGGGCAGAGAGTTCCCCTGCTGAATGGCTCTCACAGTCAGGAAGTTGGGTTTGTTGTAGGTTTTTTCAGGCTATATGGCCATGTTCTAGAGGCATTCTCTCCTGACGTTTCGCCTGCAACTATGGCAAGCATCCTCAGAGGTAGTGGGGTCAGGAAGTTCTTCCTAATGTTCAGATGGAATCTCCTTTTCTGTAGTTTGAAGCCATTGCTCCGCGTCCTAGTCTCCAAGGGAGCAGAAAACAAGCTTGCTCCCTCCTCCCTGTGGCTTCCTCTCACATATTTATACATGGCTATCATATCTCCTCTCAGCCTTCTCTTCTTCAGGCTAAACATGCCCAGCTCCTTAAGCCGCTCCTCATAGGGCTTGTTCTCCAGACCCTTGATCATTTCAGACAGTCCTATAATGCATACAATGCCTGTAATTATGATGCCAAGGATCCCTATCAACCCCTTTGGACAGTCCTATATTGCTGAGGATCCCTCCTACAATTTATATATTTATTTTATTTCCCATATTTATATACTGCCTTGAGGCGACTCAAGGCTGTTCACAATCGGCATAGTTCAATGCTCCCAACAACATAAAATATAGCTAAAACATTAACATATATTGCTAATATAATAATAATAAATTATAATTATTTGTAATAATAATAATAGTAATAATTAGCAATATATGTTAATATATATATATAGAGAGAGTTGGAATAGACCTCATGGGCCATCCAGTCCAACCCCTTGCCAAGAAGTAAGAAAATTGCATTCAAAGCACCCCCGACATGACTGGTCAAATAAACAACAACAATAATAATAATAATAATAATAATTATTATTATTATTATTATTATTATTATTTATTTACTGCCTTGAGGCAACTCAAGGCGGTTCACAATTGGCATAATTCAGTTCCCCCAACAACATAAAATATAGCTAAAACATTAACATATATTGCTAATAATAATAATAATAATAATAATAATAATAATAAATTATAATTATTAGTAATAATAATAATAGTAATAATTAGCAATATATGTTAATATATATATATAGAGAGAGTTGGAATAGACCTCATGGGCCATCCAGTCCAACCCCTTGCCAAGAAGTAAGAAAATTGCATTCAAAGCACCCCCGACATGACTGGTCAAATAAACAATTATTATTATTATTTATTTATTTATTTATTTACTGCCTTGAGGCAACTCAAGGCGGTTCACAATCGGCATAATTCAATTCCTCCAACATAAAATATAGCTAAAACATTAACATATATTGTGAATATAATAATAATAATTAATTATAATTAGTAATAATAATAATAAGCATTAACATATATTGCGAATATAATACTATTAATTAATTATAATTATTAGTAATAATAATAATAAGCATTAACATATATTGCGAATATAATAATAATACTATTAATTAATTATAATTATTAGTAATAATAATAAGCAATATATGTTAATATTTTAGCTATATTTTATGTTGTTGGGGGAATTGAATTATGCCGATTGTGAACCGCCTTGAGTTGCCTCAAGGCAGTAAATAAATTATTATTATTATTATTATTATTATTATTATTATTATTATTATTATTGTTGTTGTTGTTGTTGTTTATTTGACCAGTCATGTCGGGGGTGCTTTGAATGCAATTTTCCTGCTTCTAGGCAAGGGGTTGGACTGGATGGCCCATGAGGTCTCTTCCAACTCTCTCTCTATATTAACATATATTGCTAATTATTATTATTATTATTATTATTATTATTATTATTATTATTATTATTATTATTATTTGACCAGTCATATGACTATTTCAAAATAGAACACGAGCATATAGATAGATAGATAGATAGATAGATAGATAGATAGATAGATAGATAGATAGTATAAACCATATAAAAACAGTAAAAAGCAAGAATGGATCCTTTTCTAACACCTCCAGCCTGAGATAGGATGGGAGCGATGGGCACCACCGGGGTGGGTTAGATGACCTTCAGGTTCCCCCTTCTCTCCATTCTATGTGATGGTTCAGTAAAGTGATGGGGGGAAATCCAAGCCAAGGCTTCCCAAGCCCACCCAGAGCAACTTCCAAGCAGCGGCAGCTCAAGAGGCGAATCCTGGAAGCCGTCAAACAAGTGGGGACATTTTCCGGGAAGAAGAGGGGGATGCTTACCTTACAAGCCGAGGATGCTTCCACCGCAGCAACGCATCCCTTCCCAAGCCCAAGCAAAAACCCAAGCCGAGGCTGGGCTGGGAAAAAAGATAGATAGAGAGACCCACGCTCCTGCTTTGCTCAGGAGTCTGGTAGAAAAAAGAGAGAGCTGGATAAGAAGGTGGCGCTCGCCGGCTTGCTTTGGCTCTTCTCGCTTTCTGCTGCCTATTCCGCCAGCCTGCGATTGGCTGCTGAGAGATAAGAGAGGCAGGAGGGAAGAAGAGGGAGATGCAAGGGAGGAAAAAAAAACTTTGGGGCTTCCAAACAGAGCTTGAGGAAGGAATGGAGGGGGTACGTCACTCTAAGGGAAGCCCTTCCTTGCTGATGTCGGACTGGAAAGAGCAAAGGATGCTGATGGGAAGAAGGAGAGAAGAAGGGTGGGCGCTTTGAGAGGGAGAGAAGGCTTGGTGCCGCAGCAGAGAAAGAGCACAGCCATGCAACCCACAATAGACCTCATCACACCAGAGAAGGAATCCACTTTAAATCTGGTTGCTGCTTCCTGCAGAGTATTGTGTCCAATTCTGGGTACCACAATTGACAAGCTGGAATGTGTCCAGAGGAGGGTGACGAAAATGAGCAAGGGTCTGGAGAACAAGCCCTATGAGGAGCGGCTTAAAGAGCTAGGCATGTTTAGCCTGAGAGGAGGGAAGGCATGCTACCTCTCTATTCTGCTCTGGTTAGACCACACCTGGAATATTGTGTCCAATTCTGGGCACCACAATTGAAGAGAGATATTGACAATCTGGAATGTGTCCAGAGGAGGGTGACGAAAATGATCAAGCCACTCCCTATGAGGAGCGGCTTAAAGAGCTAGGCATGTTTAGCCTGAGAGGAGGGAAGGCATGCTACCTCTCTATTCTGCTCTGGTTAGACCACACCTGGAATATTGTGTCCAATTCTGGGCACCACAATTGAAGAGAGATATTGACAATCTGGAATGTGTCCAGAGGAGGGTGACGAAAATGATCAAGCCACTCCCTATGAGGAGCGGCTTAAAGAGCTAGGCATGTTTAGCCTGAGAGGAGGGAAGGCATGCTACCTCTCTATTCTGCTCTGGTTAGACCACACCTGGAATATTGTGTCCAATTCTGGGCACCACAATTGAAGAGAGATATTGACAAGCTGGAATGTGTCCAGAGGAGGGTGACTAAAATGATCAAGGGTCTGGAGAACAAGCCCTATGAGGAGCGGCTTAAGGAGCTAGGCATGTTTAGCTAGGGAAGTCATGCTACTCCTCTATTCTGCCTTGGTTAGACCACATCTGGAATATTGTGTCCAATTCTGGGCACCACAATTGAAGAGAGATATTGACAAGCTGGAATGTGTCCAGAGGAGGGCGACTAAAATGATCAAGGGTCTGGAGAACAAGCCCTGTTCTCAATAGGAGCAGTGTCTAGATCTAAGGAAGTAATGCTACCCCTCTATTCTGCTTTGGTTAGACCACACCTGGAATATTGTGTCCAATTCTGGGCACCACAATTCAAGAGAGATATTGACAAGCTGGATTGTGTCCAGAGGAGGGCGACTAAAATGATCAAGGGTCTGGAGAACAAGCCCTATGTAAAGAGCATGTTTAGCCTGCAGAAGAGAAGGCTGAGAGGAGGGAAGGCATGCTACCCCTCTATTCTGCCTTGGTTAGACCACACCTGGAATTGTTGTTGTTGTTCATTCGTTCAGTCATCTCCGACTTTTCGTGACCTCATGGACCAGCCCTGCTCATGCAGCTGTGGGCCCTGACTCTAAATGTGACCCATTTGTTCAACAGCAAAAGATTTCTGGATGGAACCCATTTCACAACAATGTGCCAAGTTTAGAGTGGAAAATCTTTCAGCTCTACTCCAAAAAAATAAAGAAAGAAAAGAAAAGAAAACCAACCTGCTTGCTTACCAAACCATGCAAATGCAGATTTGTTTTCAGTAAATGTTTGATTTTTATCCCTGTTTAATTGGGGTTACATTTTAAAAAAGATCTTGGGCCAAAAGGAGTCCCAGTGGGAAAGGTTTTAAGGAGCCCTGCCTTAGGCTGATCAAATTATTTTGCCACCAGAGGCAGAATAACTCACAAGTTTCTCTCCTGACAGAAAGGAATGCATTAAATAATGAATACAGGTTGCCTATCCCTTATTCAAAATGCTTGGAGCTAGAAGTAGTTTGTGGTTTTGTTTTTGGATAACTGCATTTCCATTTGTATACATTATCTTGGATATGGGACCCATAGCTAAATATTGAATACATCTATGTTTCTTATATATCTTAGACACATTGCCTGAAGGTGATTTCATATAATATTTTTGTTGATGTGTCCATGGAAGAAAGGTTGTGTGCACTGAACCACATGTAGGCAAAGATGTCACATTCTCCCATGTGGATTTTGGAGTGTTTTGAAATTATGGACAACCTGTACAATTTACCATACTCACAATTTTCTCATGGCTTCTTTACACTTACTAGAATCATAGAAATCGAGAGTTGGATGAGACAGTAACAGCCATCCAGTCCAACCCCTTGCCATGCAGGAACACACAATCAAAGTACCTCTGACAGATAGCCTTCCAGCTTCTGCTTAAAAACCTCCAGAGAAGGAGACTTTGCCACATGTCAAGGCAGCATATTCCATTGCTAAACGGCTCTTACTAATGGTAATATGGCCCTAGCAGTTCATTTTCAACCTCCAAGGAAGGATGAGTGATCCCAAATAAGGATTATGTCCTTTAGCTTTTCCTCCTTTGGGGGTATGCCACGTCTTTATAAGGATATGAAGAGTAATGTACTGAGGTAGTTAGGGAGAATGTCAACTACAGTTGAAGATTTGAAGATAGAGCTGAGGGGTTGAATCTTGGTTTTCTAATGCTAAGAAGAGAAAAGCTGAAAACCACAAGACAAACTAGTAACTAATAAGTGATATATACTCATGTACAAACTGACCTCATTGTATACATTGTGGGTATGTTTTAGGGTCAAAATTATGACCCATGGACAAGTTGTAGGACATTCTGCAGAGAAGGAAAAGCACTCTTCTCTCCACCCAGGTTTTTGGGGTTGCTTTTTTTTTTTTTTGCCAAAATTTCTAAATACATAACAGTATACCAGGCATGGGCAAACTCCGGTCCTCCAGGTGTTTTGGACTCCAACTCCCACAATTCCTAACAGCCTACTGGCTGCTTCAAGAATTGTTGGAGGCTACAGACAATGCCATTGCTGTTGCCTGTTTTTGGTCAAAAGATATTTAGCCACCTGCTCTCCTTCTATTTGTATCAGTTTTATACTAATTTATGAAATGCTTTAGATATGAAATAAATAAACATTCATACGCTCATTTTTGTTTCAGTGTTTTAGATTAAAAAATTGTAGGCATGTCAAGCTCATTTTCAACAAGGGCCACATCAGTTTTTTGGTTGCTTTCAAAGATCTGTTGAATCTATGGATGGAGAATCTGTGGATACAGAGAGTCAACTATATTTTTTTTTACATAGTTGTCGGTGCTCTTTAGTTTTTACCCAATTTGGGTTCCCAAATATTATTGAATGATAACTCCCACCACTTTTTATTGCCATGCAAACTGGGGAATAACAGGAATTGCAACCCAACAGCACATGTGAGTCTGAGGTTGGGGAAAGGTGAAAGGGCATTTTAAAGTCAGACATCAGATCCACACGCTTGGTATCTAAATTCAGACCCCACTATTGTGAATAAACAGAACAAATTTCAACCTTCCAGATGCCAATATATCACAGTTCCCTTCAGCTCTAATCCTGATGTCTATTGATGAGTAAAACACAGGTTATAGTCCACCATCTGGAGGGCCACTCAACATGACATGGAGATTCGAATTCAAACCACAAGCCCTGAGTTTGACACATAGTTCTTCACCACTTATTATTAGGTTTGGTTGATTTAAAAAATGGTTCGAAACTCATTTTGGTTGTAGGGGGCACTGGTGGTTTGATTCTAAAGTCAATTCTGATTTTCACAGAATTTTTTTTTCAAAACTTTTCGAAACTTCTGAGACTTCTGAATTCTTTCGTTAATGGTTTGAAAGTATTATTTCCTGTTTCATTGGGTGGTCTTTACTTTGAAAGTAATTGTTTTACTCCAGAAGTGGGGGAAAGCAAGTGGAGGAAATTTCTTCCTTCTCTGGTTTAAAACTGGCTTCTCTGGCTTGAGCCGAGGCCAGGAAATTCCTTCCTCCTCTGGTTTAAAACTGGCTTCTCTAGGTTGAGCCGAGGTCAGAAAATTCCTTCCTTCTCTGTTTTAAAACTGGATTCTCTGGCCTGAGCCGAGGCCAGGGACCAGAAGCGAGGAAAAGCAGAATCATTTCCAACTCACTTCCTGAGTTGTAACAAAAATGGCGGAAAAAGCTTCGGAAGGGCAAATGGACTTCTGGTTTTTTAAAAGCATAGATATCGCTTCAAAAAAGTAATTTTAATGAAATTATTGCAAGCAACGAGTTATCCGATGTGACTCTATCCATGCCTACTTATTATAGTGACTACAGTCGATGGGCATTGTAGGTGAAAGACCATTCTTGCTCACCCTTGAATTAGTGGATTCATTCCACAAGTTTTTCAAAAAGACAATTTCAGGTGTTATTTTTAACATTTGTTTTTCCTGCATGCTCTCACATTAGGACCTTTGCCTTTTAACACAATTCCATATACTTTGACAAAAAAGAAAGTTACACAGAATACCTATATGCAGGTTCCAAAAAGATTCTATTTTAACAACAGTGCATTTGGAAAAGCAGGGTCACTTTCTATATAAATTAACAGTAAAAACCAAACTTTCTTTTCTCCATTTCTTAAAAGTAACTCAAAAGCACATATTTAGCTGTTACAGGATCGTTCATTGCCCACTCACTCCAATTTTTTGATAGATGGTATAATGCAACTGAGCTTGCCTTGTATAATGCCAACTGAACTTGCCTTGTAAGCCTTGTGACAAAAGCATGCCTCTTCATGCTAGGATTGGTGCTACCATGCTTTTTCTTCGCTCCCACCCACTTCACATCCCTAGGTATAGAACTAAATTGCTGAATATCTTCTTTTCTTGAAATTTTCAAGGAAAGAGCAATCTACTACATTTCTTTGTATTGAGTACTAAGGGAATAGTTAGAGGTACTGTTAAAGATTCCTCTATTATAGGGTTGAAATTCACATCCCTTTACCCTATATAAGCCTGGTCCCTTCACTGAATCACTCCAACTGTGCTCTTCATTCTGGGAAGAATCCCTCCTAGTGTTATATAGCTATATCTAGGATGAGCCCATGTAGAGAAGGTCAAGGTGCTTTTCT